GTAAATCCCACAGAGTGGTGTTCAATAAAGGCAAATAAAGAACACATAGATCCCCTGATTACATTCATGTTGATCTTTGAGGGACTACAAGAAATCCAACGAACTCAGGTGCAATGTATTTTCTATCCATAATTGACGATTATTACAGAAAGTTATGGATATTCCCTCAAAAGAGAAAGGATAAAACTTTTGTGAATTTCAAAAGTTGGAAGACTCTGGTAAAAATTCAGACTGGCAGGAAGGTCAATAGGTTGAGAGTAGATAATAACCTTGAGTTGTGCAGTAAAACTTTCTACAATTATTGTGTTATGTCTAGTAATGTTTTGCACAAGACTGTCGTGGATACTTTTGAGTAAAATAGTATGACTGAAAGATTCAATCGAGTTATCCTATAAAGGGTTAGATGAATGTTTGTTAGTGCTATATTGAATAAGGTATTTTGGGTTAAGGTTATTGTGACTGGACCATATCTGATAAATAGGTGTCCCACGACTGCCTTAGGGATAAAGGCACCTGAAAAAGTTTGTCGGGTCATCCACCAGATCTCGACAAACTTAAAGTATTTGATTGTGTATCATATGCTCGCATCAGGCAAGACAAAGTTGAACCTAAAGCTTAAAGATGCATGTTCGTTGTGTATCTTGAAGAAGTTAAAACCTATATGTTGTGGTGCCTACAACCAGGTTACAAATAGTGTATTATAAGTCGTGATGTGGTTTTAGATTAGGCAGAAGTGACTTTCAAGAAAATTGATGATGTTGATCTAAATGCAAAGATCTCTGGAGACGAGCTAGAACTTGAAGATTTTCATGCTGAGGTAGAGCATGATGATGCTAAATTGCATAACACAAGTAAAGTCAAAGAAGGAACACAAGGTGCTAATGAAGGTAAGGAGACTATAATGACTACTTGTTGTTAATAGACGGGGCAAGGAAAGTCATCAGGCTACCACATAGACTTGGTTATGTATATCTCATAACATTTGTCTCAATCTTTGCAAGTGAGGTTCTTGATGAAGAACATAGAGATTACAAGGAAGCTATGATGAGTCGAAATAAAACTGAATAACTGAAATCCATGGATGATGATATTGAAATTTCTTCATGATAACAACACTTGAGAGATGGTCAAGAAATATCTTCATGCTTCTTTAATCTTCCAACTTCACCAATTTGCTCCAAGCCTTTGTGTGTAGCAATCATCCCTTGATCCCATTAATTCCTTGAGCAATGAACTGTTTAAATATTTGATAAGAACTCTACCTTGTTCATATACTTCCACACAGTCATTACCAAGGTAACATGGAGAGAATAACATCCTTATTTTCATTAGAATTCGTCAGCACCAATGACAACAGTCTCAATCTTGCAACTTATCTGAAAATCTCAACCAAATCTTCAATAATGATTAGTTTCAAGTTGAAGTCTCCCTTAATCAATTACAAATCTCTCATGACCAAGATATGAAATCAAACTAGAGGTTGAAGATGCAAGAATTTCGTTGCAAGAGTTTTTTAAACTTTCAAAAAGAAGGAGTGTGGATTTCACAAAATAACAATGCAAAAACGCTGTAAAGTTGTGCATAGTTGTATATGTAAAATGATGACAGAAGTATTATATTTGTGCTTGAGATTAAACACAATAATGAATGGAAAAAGTTAGTTAGATTCAAATCAAGAGCATTTTATCAAGTTTTCACATATGTATGAATATTAGGATTAATATGCATAATGGATTGACCTGCTACGAGAATACTACATAAAATATTATGTAAAGTGTCATAAGTTATTCTCATGGTGATATTTGTGTATACCACTCATCAATCTGAAACCACTATGGATCCTAGACGTGGAATGAGTACTTTATTGATGATCACACATTGTCCATAACTGGACGACCATAAACGCAGTTAATGGATACTTCACAAATCATGATGAGGGACATTAGTGATATAGATGGAATTTTCCCATCTTGCGTAACAGGATAAATGTCTATGGGCATAATATTGAACTAGACAAGGGTGACACAATCTATTCCGTATATTCAATATAGACATGGGGGCAAAAGGGTAATTATAAACACGGACATTATCACGAAAAAGATTTTGTCAAATCACATGACATTTTCATTACTTGGATAACAATGATGTGTTGTAAGATACCGCTCACTGTTTATTATATTAAATGTGTGATTTAATATAATTGTCAAGGTCACGAGAACCTACAGAGCAACATACATAAAGACAGATTGACGAGAGATAAAATAAATAAGAAACACCGTAAGGTACAATGTACTTAAAAGAATTACAGAACATCGTAAGGTACGTTGCGCTTAAGTGAATTCTAGAACACTATAAGGTACGATGCACTTAAGTGAAATATAATACACCATAAGGTACAATGCACTTAAGTGTGCTTTTTAGCTTGCATCATACACAAGTGGTTATATAAATAAAACTCTTGTGCAGAAGCTTTTGCACTTGATAAAATTTGGTTTGGGAAACCATGGCCGTAATTTCTCTTTTCTCTCTCACTCAAAGTTTTCATTCGTAGAAGCTAGCACTATGATTGAAGGCACTATGTTTGTGTGGATTGAGTAGATGCGTTGTTTTTCATTCAACACTCGTGATCATTCCTCCGAATTTACATCAAAGGTGTCAATCGCCACAAGAGGTAATCATTCTATCACTAATCATCCATCATTCATAAGGATCATCTAAAGGGAAATTTTTGTTTTTTGTTACGCTTTGTATCACGATTTCCCTTCATAAATCATAGGGTGTCATGCCAAATTCAGATTCTTTGAGGATATGTATGCACACCACCTAGTTACGACAGTAGATGCCGATGGGATGATGGGCAGATTATGTATCAATCATTGTCTTTGAGGTCGTATATGTTGTACTTGGTTGACACTTTCATTTTAGTGGACAATAATGCCTACTACATAGATGTTATTTACCTATGATTTTTTGTTGACTTGGATATAATTCATGAGTATAACTAGGGGACCGCTTGTTTGGTTTACCTGTTCTCTAAGTTACCTAAAGGTTGTCTTTGGAAGACAAAACAAATGCTTGGTAGTTGCATGGTGTTGATGGTAGTATATTTGCATCCCTTATTGTTTATGTTCCATTTTTATAACACATGTGCTACTTTGTTACTAATAATTAATATGTATTATTTTCAAGCATGAATCCTCTAAAAGTGCATATCTGGTTGTTCGTTTATTGAGACATACGTCGAGGATCAACCACCTGTCCGTGCTTATATCATGCGACAATTTGAGTATATGTAGGTTGTTCCATAATACCCCTTTGTGCCAGCCCTTTCTACTGTCGTTCGCAAAGATATTGATGTCATGTTTGATGATTTCTATAATAATATGGTACCGATTGAAACACGAGATGGTGTAGCTCCTACCGAATGGAGTACTACATTTAACTTCATTTGGTGGTACTTTATAGTGTCACATCTATATATGATCCCAGATGTACACGAAGATCCACTAAGGCCAACTCATCAGAAATTACTAGAGGAGGAGTAAGTTAGGATATATCATGTTGTTGATGTCTTACCAGGTTGTTGTCATATAATGATCATTTCTCGAAAGGGTATAGACATAAATGACTTTACATAAGGCATTTCTGCTAGGGTATTTATATATTCCATTCTAGCGAATGCACAATTATTATTACAGTGCCAGAAACAACGTAGGAGCATAGGATTTAATACATACAACAATTTATTTATTTGTATTAGAGATTATGCGTTAGATTATGTATTTTGACATTATTATGGATATTGCGTTTTATTTTAATTTATGTCATCTTGATATGATTATATCATTTTATAATTTACACAATAAAAAATTTATTTTGACTATATACTTTTAATAACAAATAACAAATCTTATTTTTGTTAGGGGAGTTTTTTTCAACTAGGGAGCATGGAACATTGTGAAATTTTCCTTTTCTGAAGCAACACCTTTGTGAGAGACACACCGCATAGTCACCAAAAACGTTAAGTTTTTACATTTCTAGGCAATGTGAGATTATTACCCATATTACTCACACATGTTATACTTAACAATTTTGATATTATAATAGGTATTATCCCTAAAAAAACAAACGTTTATTGATTTACGGTAACAATTTTGATATTATATTAGGTATTATCCCTAAAAGAATAAACATTTGTTGATTTATGGTGATTTCGAAAATATATTTTCATATTCTTTTTATAAAAGGTATGAATATGCCTTTTCAGACTAAATTGTGACAAAATACGGATGACGCTATTCAATTACACACTGATTTGAGGTTTTAGAGCGTTCAAATATGAACTTCTAAATTATAAGGGGAGACCCCAAATTTTACTTAGGTGTGAGTCTATTCTCACCCTTTGACCATCTAAGTATGATACTTTAATTTTATATTTTATTCAATTAAACTTCAAAAATAAATTTTAAGTTTATTACATTTTTGATCCCCTATTTGATTTGATATAAGAAATTGATCATACATTTTAAATTTAAACAATTTTAATCTCTTTCATACTTTTACACTTAAAATTAACTATATTTTTATTTTTTAAATGACAATTTTTGTATAAAATATGAAAAAAATTCGTATATAAATCTATTATTAAGTTTATAAAATAAAAAATAAATTAAAAAATAAACATCTCTTCGATTTTTTACGAAATAAAAATATAATTTTAAATAGAATGATAAATTTTAATAATTGGAAATAAAATATTATATAAAAGTGTAATCAAACCTAAATTTTACTAAAATAATTTCTTCTTTTGAATAATCAAACGCATGGAATTAACCTGCAAAAGTAAAATCCATTGAATTGTTGGAGTATACATTTAAGCTTATTTGGAAAAATCAACGGTGAAATGTTGAAAGACAGAATCTGCCCGCGATTTCATCATGTCACAAACGTAACCAAACATCTCGTCATCACTCTTTCTCTCTCCTAAACCTAACCTTAACATGTCGATGTTACTAAGGAAACTGTTGGAAATCATGTTGAGACGAAATCCAACATGTTCCGATGAAGAAGAAAAACAAGTGTTAGAGCGTGGTGATTTGGGTGAATTAGATCAACTACCTAGTGATATCTTGGTACAAATTTTGAGACTTTTGGGTCCCAAAGAGGTTGCAAAACTGAGTGTGATTTGCAAGTCTTTGAGATTTTTTGTATCTGATAATCGCTTATGGCTTTACTTCCTTCAGACTCATCAATCTGACCCTTCTTGGGATTCTGTTTTCTTTGCTGAAACTAATTTGACTTCAGGGTACCCTATTCCGTAAGTGTTTCAAAGTTTGATTTTTTATGATGATTCTTTCAATTCAATTTCATGGGTTTTGTTTGTGATTGGAAATAAGTGATTTTGATGGTTTGGGATTTGGTTTGAATTTGATGGGTTGTGGAGATGATTGTTGTTTTGTGATTGTAAATAAGTGATTTTGATGGGTTGTGTTTGTGATTGGAAATAAGTGATTTTGATGATTTGTGATTTGGTTTGAATTTGATGGGTTGTGTTTGTAATTGGGGAAATAAGTGATTTTGATGGTTTGTGATTTGGTTTAAATTTGATGGGTTGTGGAAATGATTGTTGTTTTGTGATTGTAAATAAGTGATTTTGATGGGTTGTGGTTGTGATTGTAATAAGTGATTTTGATGATTTGTGATTTTGTTTGAATTTGATGGGTTGTGGAAATTATTGTTGTGTTGTGATTGTAAAAAAGTGATTTTGATGGGTTGTGTTTGTAATTTGAAATAAGTGATATTGATGATTTATGATTTGATTTGAATTTGATGGGTTGTGGAAATGATTGTTGTTTTCTGATTGTAAAAAAGTGAACTTGATGGGTTTTGTGTGGTTGAAAGTTTGTGATTGATGAAAAGTGATTAATTTTGATATACTGTGGTGTTTATGATTTTGTTACTTGATGTGAGTTTGATGGGTTTTGCAAGTGATTGTTTTGATAGATGTTATGACGGAATCGCCCGTTTAATCTTTCGAATTGTAGGGATCTATCGTGTTGGTTGTGAAATTGACGTAATCTAGAAATGATCTTTGAAATTGAAAAGTTTAGATCACATTTGTCTGTTAAAAGCAATTTTAAGACTAATTTGACCGACTCAAAATGATTAATGTGATTGAGGATTTTGATGCTTTGTGGTGTAAATGATTGGTAGGACTAAGTTGATCGACCCAAAAGGATTATTGTGATAGAATACTTTTAGTTTCGGAGATTATTTTAAAATTTTTGTTAATATCTGATACCGAATTGTGTGACCCCTACAACCTGATGGATACGAGTTTGAAAAGGCAGACACATGTTTCAATGCATTTCCACCGTGATTTTGAGAAGCTACAAAAGGTAGCTTTTGGTGAAACGTGAATTTCTACCGTGATTTTGGAAAAGCCATCGCCAAACCAAACATAGCCTTAGTCCTTCAAATTGTAGGGATTGTCTCAACTTGATCGTGAATCTAAGTTGATCGACCCAAAAGGATTAACGTGATTGAGGATTTTGATGGTTTGTGGTGTAAATGAGCGTTATTTTGTGCTTTGGTGTGAATTTGATGAATTGTGGTAATCCAAGTGATTGTTATTGTGTTTTGATTGGTATTGGAGTGATCGGTATTTCGTGAAATCGAGAATTTGAGATTCCATGAATTGCAGATCCTTTGTTGGTCAGAGTCAGAGGCCTCAGTTGTCATTCAAACATATATATGGCCAAAGAGCACAAGTTCCCGGTGCTATTATCATCGATGGTTAGTCTCGCAAATTTTCATTCTATGATCTTGTGTTTACGATTACATTTTTCTTTTTGTTTTAAAATTTATACGCTTCTCGTTTATCTGTTTTTTCTTAAGGCGGTTCCGGCTATTGCAAATTTGGTTGGAGTAAATACGCTTGTCCGTCAGGACGATCCGCAACATTTTTGGTAATGACTTTCATTGGAACTAGTTGATCAAAATTTACCGTGTTTTGGTTTTTCCTGTGTTCATTTTGACTTCAAACGAGAAAAGATTTAAGCTGCAGAAAACACTTCCGCTTATACTAGGCATTGCCTTTTTCGGTTTCTCGATGTGTAGGAATTTGGCAACATCGAGTCGCCAATGTATACTAGACTTCGACATTTTTTCGCAACAATTTATAACAGGTATATCAGCATTTTGATTCTCTCTTATCATTTTTATGTTGTTCTTGTTTGATGTTTAATATATCGGTCGATTTCTCGGCAGGATGCAAGTGAAACCAAATAATCAACCGGTTATTGTTTCTGTACCGATATGCCATTATGAAGGTAAGTTGCATTTTACGATTTACTTCAGTTATTGTATGGTGATTTGTGCGACGGTGATGAACACATAACGGTTTCGTGTTTTCAACCGTACCATGCTCTCATCTTGTTACGTATATGATTCTCTAGCTTTACAAAATATTGCTTCGTTCGTTCCAGATACTGAATCAGCCAGAGCATCGAGACGACAACTTAAAGAAGCGATTTATGCTTCCCTTTTCGACTTGAATGTTCCTTCTGTTTGTGCTGTCAACCAGGTAATATATTTTAACCGAAGAAAAAAGACGGGAAAACTTACCGAACTTTGGTTAATAAAAGTATAGAATAACGTCACTTTGATCTTTAAGAATACCATATATACGAATCGGTTATTTACGTATTAACTTATTGTATAATTTGAAAAAATGTAGGCGACTCTAGCTTTATATGCTGCGAAACGAACTTCTGGAATAGTGGTTAATATAGGTTTTCAAGTCACGTCGGTAGTTCCAAGTATGCCCTACTGTTTTTTCTTTGCTTTGCACGTTCTCTTTCTCGTGTTAAACGGGTTTTCGATATTGGTATTAGAAGAAACGTCTGTCGATTTGTTTCACCTTTTTTGTGGTGTTAATGTGAGCTGCATTATCGTTTTACAGTTTTTAACGGTAAAGTAATGCGGAAGATCGGCGTGGAAGTTTTGGGACTCGGAGCGCTTAAAGTTACGGGATTTCTCAAGGAGAAGATGCAACTGAATAACCTAAATTTTCAATCGTTGTACACCGTTCGCGCTTTGAAAGAGGTATTAATTTTCTCTGGTTATAGTAATCCGAAGTTTAGTCGGGAGATAAGTAATGTGTAGCCGATGATTGTTTCTATTCAGGTTTCAATCATACGATCGTGTTCATTTCGTTACGATTTTCTGGTTTTGTAACAGAATCTATGCTATGTTGCTCTTGATTATGAAGCGGAGCTATTAAAGAAAAACACACAAGCTTCTTTTCAAGCTGCGGGAGATGGATTGTTTACACTTTCGAAAGAGCGGTTTCAGACAGCCGAGGTTTTATTCAAGCCGTATCTTGCTGGATTGTAAGTTATTCGTATTTTTTGCAACATGGTTACAACAAATTGACGATGTATAACTTCTCTTCGAAGATGTTTGTATTTCAATTTATACGGTATCAGAGTCTATCGAAGATCTGTTGGATCATCTGCTACTACGGTATCAGAGTCTATCCAAGATCGGTTGAATCATCTGCTATTACAATATTATATCGTCTTTATGAGTTTGTTTTTATATTTTCACTTACTCGTAGATTAAGCGTATGTTTCGCATTTTGATATAGGCAAGCGATGGGTTTGCACCATGCCATAGCTCTCTGTATGGAGCATTGCCATTCCGCAGAATTACCGGGCGAAAGTGATTGGTACAAAACTGTCGTTTTATCGGGAGGAACCGCATGTTTGCCAGGTTTGGCAGGTAAATATGCAAATCACTTTTCACATAAGCCCTTATATGTAAACTCCAACAAGCTAGAAGCTATTCAAATTTGGCTTAATTCTACTTTTTTCGACGTTGTTGTGCAGAAAGATTAGAGAAGGAACTCCATAGCTTACTTCCTCCATACGTGTCGAATGGAATAAGAGTCATACCTCCTCCATTCGGCACCGATACTCCATGGTTCGGAGCGAAAATGATTGGCAATGTAAAGTTCTGTTTGGATAAACATCTTAATTAAACACTTTTTAGTATAAGCGCTTTTCATATAAATGCTTAATTATAAGCTATTTCTATAACATATGAAATAATGTCGAAATTGATTTACAGTTGAGCACATTTCCTGGTCCTTGGTGTGTGGAAAAATCGAAGTTTCGACAGAAGCCGAGACTCAGTCTCATATGGTGATTATTTTGTTTTAAAATATATATCCTCAATAATGTAATCATTTTTGTATATTTATAAATTTAAATAGTTGAATTTTCTATAATTAAGAATAATGTAATAAATTGTCCCGCGATGTTAGTAGCTCTGTAGGAACATCAGATGCAAGAGCGCAGATTCAAAACTCGAAACTGTGACATCCCACTATTTGGTGAAATTTTAGTGACTATGTTATAAGCTTGAGTAGATAGTTGATATGATTGAAAAATATCTACAAGGTTAAGTGTATAAGATATCAAACTAAATTTTATTTATTTTTGTGAGATTTTTAATTTTTCTCAATGTATCTTCATAGTCCATATTATTTAATTTGATTTATAAATATAAATGTTAGATGACTTGAATTAATTAATTTAACTTGATTTTTTTTAATTGTGCTCCTTTTATAGTCACTCACCCAAAAATGTTAGCCTTTTATAAATAAAGCCAAGTATTTTATGCGAAATAAATTCGCGTAGTATATTTAAGTGTATCTAATCCATTAGATTTATTGGATTGAATAATCTAGTTTTGATATTAAATTTAGAGAATTTTTTAATGCGTTTTAGATTATTCCTATATCATGTGAATTTTTACAATTTTTGTTTTTTGAAAATGTATCTCAAAATGTATTTTTTGCACACTCAATAAAGATTATTTTGAGAGATGTTTCATATTTCATATGTTAAATTATTTTTATTCTGAACATGCATCTTTGAAATATTTCAAAAATGATCACAATTATTTATCGGTTCAATGAATATTTCGGAGATGCATTTTTGAAATTATAGACTGTATTTTGAAATTTTATGTCATCTCTGCATGTCATGATTTCGAAGATGCTTTTCTGCAAATATCTGATATAATAGACAGTTGCATGATCATTGATATACTTGGTTTTAAACCAAAATCTTCATTCTAAAAACCATTCATTCTCAATTCATTTTTTCACTCCAAATGTTCATTTTTTTGGTTCAACATATCATAGAGAGCAAAAAAAGATAGAATTTCAAGTAAAGATTCTTCTTTTCCCTATGTATTGCTCACATTAATCATCCATTTTTTTCTGAAAAAAATGACGATGTGTCCGAAAATGTATCATCCATTTTTGAAGTCAGTAGTTGACCTTATGTTCTGTTATTGTTTTAATTGTTTTCATTAGATATGGCGCACCCCGACGTTTTTCCAAAACAAGTTGTTTCTCTGAATGTTCAAAGTGTGGTTGTTTCTCCGAGTGTCGAGAGATTAAACAACATTGAAAAAGAATCAAATGTACAAAAATTCAAGGGGGTGTCACCTATAGATTTAGCCGAGGACACATATTTCAATTTGTTTTAATTTTTTGTTTAATCGGACATTGTATGTAATTGTGTCTCAATATAAATGAAGTGTTATATATTCACCTTTTATTTATATTTTGTCTTTATGCATTTCTGATCTACCCCATAACATGTGTGTTTTAGTCAATGAAAAAAATATTTCTCTTATAGTGTTTTGTTTAGAAAATGGTTCAAAACAAGTTCCAGAGATGCATCTCTAAAACAAGATAATAGCGTGCAGTTTTAGAAATATATCTCTGAAATTAATATGCCTGTTAATGAGTTTCTAAATTGATCTATGACTTCTATAAATTTAGGTGTTCTTATGTTATATTTCACACAAACTGAAAATATCTCAAATGTCACAAATAAACATCTATTGGTATGTCACAAATGTCTCCTTATCCGGCTCTACACCCAAACAAACGTTCGAGCTCGCCGACTTCACCTCCCTCGAAGATATCAAAGACAAAATCCACAGTCTCCTATCTTACGGAGACAATCGAAAGATTGTGAAGTTCGAGTACCATTCACCGCCAATTGACGACAAATAACAGTTTGAGTTCAGCAAATTTGAGGTCAAGATGCAAGAAGATATAAGTGCTATGTGGAATACGTATTTCCGTTTTGAATAAAAAAAATCTGCTCGAGTTGGAATCAACGATTTTAAGATTGGTCGAAGATATTCTAAAGATGTGTAAGCATCACCCGAGATATTGAAATGTAATATAGTATTTTATTTAAAATCATCATTGTAATATTTATTTTATGTTATGAATGTCAATTTCATTTTAGAAAATTATTTTTTGTTGAATTTGATACTAATAATGTGACTCCAAAGATGTAACTATGGAAGGAGATGCATCTCCGGAATAAATTTAAAAAAAAGACGTAATTTAGAATGATCTTTGTTAATTGTGTGCTGGGGTGCGTTAGAGGATATATTTTCAAAAACAGTTGTATTTATAAAAATTCACGTGGTGTATCAGAAACATCTTGGGTGCAATAAAAAATTCTCTTAAATTTATAAAAATTCACATGATGTATTAGAAACATCTTGGGTGCAATAAAAAATTCTCTTAAATTTACTCAAGTGTACTCGAATGATTGGATCGATGGTCGGTAACAACAAACGATTTCAATCTTCTTCCGATCGTAGTTGTTGAGATATTAATGGTTTTTAGATGTGACTAAAAAATATTTAAATTTAATTTATAATTAAAATCTATCTTATTCTTATTTATTTATCCATTTAATTTGGGTGGACCATATTTATTTTCAATGGAATCAATTTTTTTTTCTTTTCCTATTTCAACGGAGCCATTCACGCTCATTTGTCTTGGCTAATAGTTTTATTTATTTTTGAAATTTTATTCATTTTTTCTGTTATTATTGTAAACTGCATAATTTATCCAATTAAAGAAACAGCTTCTGATACAATTTTTTCTGTGATTCATTTTCAAGAATACAATGCTCCCAACAAAACTTGCAATCTTTAAACAACACTCAAATACAACATAGTTGTAACTATATATTATATATAAGTACATTCTCTGAGTTTCACCTCTAGCACGACCAATCCGCATCGACAACAACGAACTCGAACTTTCGGGTTATGTAAAATAAAATATGTTAATCGATAATACGATAATACAACAATGCAATGCAACAAATGAATTGAAGTTTGAGAAATTCCGATATCAGAATAACATGATCAAGAAAATGCAAGAAGTGAGAGCCAGTAATATAGAAGGAGTATGTACGATTTGATTTGCAGTATCATTGGCCGACTCTGACGGAGACAACGCCTCACAAGCTAGACCTCGCTTTCCTTCACGACACTCGCTCGCGAAGAGACCGGGAGGGTATCTTCCGTAAAGATTGATGTAGCTAAACATGGTTGAGGCGCAATCGTTCGTTAAATCGTTTAGCACGTCAACGTAAGGGCAAGCAAACTCTTTAAACGCTCCACAACATGGTTTCGGAGGGTACTCAGGTCCTTTGCATTTGCTTGTGATTATTGTGTAGTTTAGAAACTCGAAATTCACAGAACAACCTGCAAAAGTAGTGAGAAACAATGTCATCAAAACTCTATTATGGATCAAGAAAACAAAGATCTAATCGCGTTTGAACTATATGTAACACCCGACGCTTAAAATTAAAGACATGTCTTGTGCCTGATATAAACACGACACTAACATATGCATATTTCTTAGAGTATTACATGTGGTTACGTGTCAGTATCAAAGACATGTCTTGTGCCTGATATATACACGACACTAACATATCTCATATTTCTTAGAGTATTACATGTGGTTACGTGTCAGTATCAGTATCGTGTCAATTTCTTAGAGTATTACATGTGGTTATGTGTCAGTATCAGTATCGTGTCAATTTCTTAGAGTATTACATGTGGTTACGTGTCAGTATCAGTATCGTGTCAGGTGCAACAAAAACTTCTATAACATCAAAGAAGCGAAGTTACATCAAGATTATCAAAGTTGAATTCACAGAAACCTTGATAGAAAGAACCAATTTGGTCCCACTTAAAATTTTGGAAAAAAACTAGTTTATCAACATGAATCTTGACAACAAATTGTTGGTAATAAATAAATTTCATTTTCTTCAATCACATCAAAATAAATTACATATAAATAGAATTCTACAAACAACAACAATAAACCAATAAAAAAGACAAGAAATTAATATTATAAATTTGATAATTTTTTGAAAAAAAAAAGTTGGTAGATCCAAAAGCATAAGAGAGAGAAAATGAAGAACCTTTTTTAGCTTGAAGAAGATGGCGAGCAGTGAGTATCTGAGAATCAAAAATAGTATCTGCAATTACAAAAACCAAAACCCAGATATAAAAATCTAAACTTTTTTCATAATCTTACAGAAAAATTGAAAATTTGAAAGAAAAGAAAGTTTTACTGTTTAGAAAAGTTGGATGAAAAGAAGAAACAGAGAGAGCCATGATGAGGAGAAGTGAAGAACAGAGCAAGAAGCTCTGTTGATTCAAAGAACAGGACATGCTATGATGTTGGAGACAGATCTAGTTCTTCTAGATTTTACAGAAAAATGTGTTTTTTTTCTCTTTCTTTTGAGGAATGGATGAATGAATTATGAACAAGTTTTTTGAGAAGATGCTTTTTTTTTTAATGCGTTTTGAAAAATTGTTTGTGTTTATGTTATTATATGAGTAGATATTGAAACAGCTAGAATACAATTATAATATCCTTTTAAATTTGGTTGAATGTGATAAAAATCAATTTAATATTTAAATTAATTTAAAATAATAAATTATTTATTTCAATTAAATATCATTTCATAAGTGTATTCTAAACTTTTTTTTTAAGATTTAATTTGATTTGTTGTATATATTTTGAAAAAATTTAATAATTAATAGATATTTTATCTTTTATCATATAGACAAAATTTGAAAAACTCTTTTTTAAAAAAATTTGAAGATTTGGTGTTTATTCAAAAAATTTAATTATAAAAAATAATAATATAACAATTTTTTTAAAAATTGTCAATTTGATAAAGAGTGAAATAAATTTAAATCTTTAAAAAATACATAATATTGAATAAATTTTTTAAGGAAACTGACAAAACCAAAGAATCTTATACGGCAGAGGACAAATTCAAATTATTTTTATAAATATTTTTCAAAACTTATATATACTTATTATAAATTATTCACGAAAATAAGTAAAAAAATTGAATCCACCATATTTTTTATGAGATAATTTCTTAACAAATGAATTAATTTTTTTTACATTTTTATAAAAATATTTATAAATTACTATAAAAATGAATTTTAAAAAGAAATATTAGTTTATAAATATTGCTGACAAAAATTAAATCATAAAGTGATTGATTACACTTATTTAAGTATTAAAAATTTATTTTGTTTAATATTTGATAATAGATTGAATATGGTTATTTTTAATTAAAGAAAAGAAATTATATAAAGAAAAAAATATGAATATATGTTTATGAGACTCGTTCATTTACCAAATAATAATATGCATTGGTTAGTTAGTTTTTATATTATGATATAAAAAAAGTATAATAAGAAAAAGAAAAATGAGTGGAAGTGATATACGTGTGGAAGTTGAACAAACATTTGGAAATAATAATTATTAAATAAAATAAGTGACAGAGAGATCCATAATAAGTTAATGTATGACAGCACAGAAAACGCGCAAAAAAAAGAAAGAAAAAGAAAAAACAGAACTAGCTGCAACTCCAATAGTAAATGGTCTTTTTCCTTTTCCCACTCTCTTTTTAAATTTCACAAGTTTTCAATTATGTCTTCTAGAGGAATAAAAAGAGCCTTGTGAAGAATGAAATTTGTGAAGACAAGATTGAAAAGGGAATAATATATATATATATATATATATATATATATATATATATATATATATATATATATATATATATATATATATATATATATATATATATATATATATATATATATATATATATATATATATATATATATATATATATATATATATATTATAATTATTATTGAATTCTAACTTCTAAAATATGAGATTGGGCTAACTCACCATCTCGTCCAAAAGGTGAAGTCTTGTGATTCTCTCAATTTTGTTTCTCTAAGTCCTCGCTAGGCTCTATGCGTGTAGTGTAGAGGTTAGTATGGACATACCAGTATAGAGTCCTCCAAATAGGATGTGTGTATGGACAAAATGTTTTGACTTATAAGAAAACTAAGCATAAATGTACACATGCTCTCAAGCAAGAGGCATGTAGAGGTGATGTGCTTTGACTTGTAAGGAAACCAGACATATGGAGGTCTGTATCGGCATACACAGTCTCCAAAGCACGAGGTGTATAAAAGAGAAGTGATTTGTCCTTTTTTTTAGCGATTTCAATCATTATCGTATTTTTCTATTGGGATATTATGAACATTATATCTTCCACTTTAAACTAGAATAATGATTACGACCCTACGAACTTGTGATCTATAAGACCAGAGATTCAGTCTTTAGTATCAATAGCTTTTGATGAAATTTTAGACTATGTCGGCCATATTTTTCTCTATAACCTATATTTATAAAGTTTCAGGTTTTCTTCTTTCTTTTTATTACACTAATTTGTCTCCTTCAAACTTAATGGAGAAAGAACACTTGTTATCTCCTTTTCTCCTTGTTATGAATCAAATGTCTTGAAACAAAATATAAACGGTTTCTTTATGATCAAGAAACACACAAGGGTTAGGATTAACAAAGAAAATAAGGTAAAACAACAAGGAACAACAAGAATTGGTTATAAACTGCTATTATTTTGTTTCTCTTAGAAATAAGATTACAAGTATACAAGAATAACAAAATAACTTCTCTCTCTCTCTCTCTCTCTCTCTCTCTCTCTCTCTCTCTTGAAATTAAGATTTTATCTTCCTATTTTTTCTTATGCCAAAATGAGAGACTAACATGCTATTTATAAGAAAATTTCCACAGTAACCTAATGGGCTTTTTAACAAATTATTCATTACAAGCTAACTTAGGGTACAAGTTAACTTAAACAATTGAGCTTACAAGCAATGCCCAATTTAATATGCTAACAAACCTAGCAATATTGACTAATGCATGTTAGAACAAACTTCGACTGCAACACGCATTACTCTGACAGCAACATGTGAACAGACTTCGACCTCGTGCTTAATTCCCGTCGAACTAGAAGCTACCCTTCGACTATATTAGAGTTCGATCCAATATCTCTTACTCCTCTTACACTCAAATGTTTTTTAATTTATCATCTTACCTTTTCCCTTTTTACTTATCTAGGTGTTATATTTATTAAGAAGTGTGATTCTTCGAAAAAAAGGGTTGAACTCAATTTTTTTTTAGATGTGTGATTTATGGATTATTGTTCGAACAACTTGAAACAGGGTGATGGTAAGGTAGATTTGAGGTTTCTGGAAATAGAAATGTTGAGTGGTTGCAATAGTTTATCTAGTGATAGTAGTGTTGATTTAATGTCTTATTCCCCAGAATCAGCGAGGTTAGTTATGGTTGTCACTACTTCAAAAAACATCACTTTCTGTGATGAAATGACAAGTATTGATTCCCTATATAATGACAAAGATTAGGTACAGACTTTCTGAGTTGGATCGAACATATCTAATACGGGAAACGAGACCTATGTAGTGTTAGAGCCTTATTTGGAAGGTGAAAAGGTGTGCATGTGATAACCTAGAGGGGCAGACACATTGGAGTTGGCATACCCTTCATTGTTTTCAAGTGGAGGTATTGAAGGCTATAAATATTGATCCTTTCTAATTTCATTCTAATAGTTGGGTCTTTGTTTGTGGTTTTTAAATTATTTGTAGAAGTCTTAACATTACCTTTACTGTGGGGATCTTTTTTTCTTTCTATGAAATCAAAAGGGTAAACAAACGGTTTAGATTTCCGTTGCTGCAATTCTTAGAAGGGCCCTTCTTACCCCTTACTTGTCTGACTATAAGAACTGGAAAGATAAGTTCATCAGAAATTATGGTGATGTTAATTGCCCTAAGAATATTTTTAATAAGGATGACACCTATCGATGTCCCATCTACTGGACGAGTGCACCTCTATCCTTTAATGGTTATAATTTTGATAAGTATAACGAGGCCGAGAAAGATGGGTTTGATTTCTTGGAGAAATTCCTACCTTTTAGTGTGAAGGAAAACTTTCCTTCGCTCATAGTTTTTTTTTTGGGTAAGTGATGTCTTTTGTTAACGCATATAAGTTATATTTAACCCTTATTTTTAATCTAAGCTTCCCTTTTCCTTAACAACATTTAAAAATTTGAGAATGTTATTGTTGAGTTAAGAAATAAACAAACATTTATATTAAAATGCAAAGAAATTTAATAGTGATGTATTTAATAAAATTGTTAGATTAACATGTGTACATAATAATGAAAATAAAAATATATAAATATATATTGTGCAGGTATGAGTTGGGCTTGGTACTAAGATACCCTGTACCCGCACCCGCATTCGCTTATTTTAGTGGGTAATGTCTGTACTCGTACCGTATCGATTTTTTGCGGATTTTTACTCTACCAGTTGTGGGTAATTTTTACGAGTACCCATTGGGGATGAATGCAATTGCCATCCCTACAAAAGGTGTTGGTCATCTGTCTCTCTTGTTGGATCGTCATGAAGAACATCCACATTGGATCAAGAGCAACACACAAGTGAGAGAGACACCGCACATTCACCTAAAACCTTAAGGTGATAGATGTATGAGTCATCTCACTTGTTAAGTGCTAAATCTCCATTTTTCTAAACAATGAGAGACTTCCAACTCACACTTGTACACAACATCTCTTTCTTTGTGTTACATAATTACAGTTGTTACTGTATACAACTTTTCGTTTTGATTTAGATATTCCCATAATCTTCGATAAATTAAGATATCGTAGATCTGATTTATATGCATGTTACATGTATTTATTTTGTTTTCACACTAAAGTATAATTATTTTTTGGCTTAAATAGTCTTGTGGTCCTTGTAAGTTAGCGATTTTTTGAATTTAATCCCTGTATATTTTTTTTGGTCTGAGTTCTTATACCACACTTTTGTGTTGCCTTTAGTTTCTGACATTAGATTTCTATTAAAAAAAAGCTGAGTGGATAGACGCTGTAGACGTGGTACTGCTGATGTGTTTGTTTTGAACCGTAGACCATCAACTATCTATCTATTCAAAAATAAGCTAACACCAAACCTCCTAATATATCCTTTATTTTTTAAAAAATTGTACTGACAAAAGGGTATATTTGTAATTAATAAATGCTAAAAAAATTGAAACTACCTCCTTTTGCCATCTCATTCATTTTCCACTTTTTACTTTTAACTTTCTTACTCTTCCTTTTATTCTCCTAATTCAAATTTTAAATTTCTCCCACATTTCTTTTTCTCACTTTCATTTTAATTTTCTCTCTCTCCATTTTCTTTTTCGTATTTTTTTAAGTATAAATAACAAAATTGAAACTCTTTTTAATTTAATTAAGAGCACCGAAAAATATTAAATTTTTAAAACACAAAATTTATTTAAAATAAAAACATATTATTTTATAATTATTATATATAAAAAATATTCATAATTTATAAAATTATTGTTCCTTATATAATTAAATAACTCAATTGAAATTGACATGTGTATCTAAATATATTTTATACTATATCAAATTGGATAACACTCAATAACAGTGTACACAATTTACTTTTTATTTCATGGGTCACTATTAGGATAATATCTATTTTATTTTAATCAACAATTGTCTTTATATAATAGACAAAAAATTTATTTTTAAATGTGCTTTTTTTTTGTTTCTCCATCTCACAAGCCTCTTTTTGTTTATATGACTATTTAATACAATTGAGTTTATTTGATTATTGTTCATTTTACAATTAAGTAATACATTATACATTGACATATGTATCTAAAAATATTTTATATTGTATCAAATTGAATATCACTCAATAATGGTGCACGCCACTAACTTTTTATTTCACGGGTCATTATCAAGACAATATCTATTTTATTTTAACCAAAAATTATCTTTAATTGAGAGATGAATTCTTTATTTTCAAAAGTGGTTTTTTTTAATCTCTAAATTCTTTTTTTCATTACAAATTTATACGTGTATATAAATATATTTTATATTGTATTAAATAAATTTTCGCACGGGTATTTTGTTAGTTTGCTTACAATATAAAGAACTTTTCACCGGTCCTTAAATTATCTGAATTCATTCATTTACGTGTATATCCAACCCAACCCATAATAATTCCTATAGTTTTGGTTTGGGTATCGGATTTGAGTTTTACAACCCGCAAATTCATTGACTCAATCCATTGACGTGACTTTGATAATTTCTTATTATTTTAAATAAAAGTATAAAATTAATATCTCACTAATAACTATAATTTTTTCAAAAAAAATTTATTCTCCATTAATAATATTACTAGATTAATGAATTTATGTAATTCTAAAATTAAGTGTTGTTTCTTATTTTTCTTTGTATCAATTTTAAGTTATGTATTTTATGAAAATATCATGTCTTGTTGAATTTTATATTATTAAGTGTTATGCTAATTTTATTAGATATTATATGATGTATTTAATCAAATATGAGTGTTATAAATCAATATGATTGTATTGAGGTGGGCAAAAAGAATCCTACAAAAATATTTTTTATTTTAAGCACAACCCGTAAATTCAACCTAACCCATAAATAAATGTGTCGGTTCAGATTGATTTTGACAATAATAAAATTGCAGGTTAGACGACAAACCCAACTCATTAAAGTTTAAATGGGTTGGATAACGGAATAGGTCAAACCCGGTTCAACCCTACCCGTGTACACTCCTATTGGTTGGTACTACCATGTGAATGCATTGATCATTATTAGAAATTATTATTTGACATTCAATCATTTACTTATATTGAGTTAAGACAAAAAGAAATTATTATTTGGCATTCAATCAATAGATTAGTAGTTTGATTTAGATTTTGATAAAATTAATGATAGAGAAATATTTTTGAAAAACTTATTGGAGTTTGAAAATATTATTTAAAGAATATGATTCAATGTTGGATAATGTTAAATTACTTTTGAAAGTACAATTAATAAAAAAAAAGTCAAAGGGTGGAAGTAAATAGTTGAATAGTATTGAAACAATTGCAACAACAAATTATGAAATGTTCAAAAACTATGTACTCACATTTTAGCATTTAGAAAAACCTTGAAAATGTCAAAATACTATTTTTGTTGTGTTTAAAAGTGCATTTCTTCTCTAGCTATTGAGGTTTCTTCTCTCTATCTCATTTATTCACAAATCTTTTATCTCATTATTAGAAGTTTAAAATGAACAAATATTTTTTAAAATGAAACTTTAAATGTTTTTTTAAGTAAACATATAACAATAATCTTGAATACATAAATAGATCTTTTTTTTAAACTCTTAACCTATGTAGTTATAAAATTCAAACTACTTTAAATGGACAAGCTCAAATTTATTCAAATATTATAAAATAATCATTAATACCACTTTAACTCAACTTTCATTAACAGTAATCCTGCTTTATTTCAACTTCTCAAAATAGTGTGGTAAAATTGAATTTAAGTTAAAGCAAAACAATAGGAAAAATTACAAATTAGTGCTATAATTAGGTAATCCACTTATGTGAAAATTAGGCTGTCTAAAAAAAGTGAAAAGTAGGCAAAGCCACTATATTGGACATTGGAATGTGACAAGAAATTTCATTGTCAAGACAAGATATAAGTTAATGTTATATTCCATGTGTGCCAAATGTTTTGAACAAAACTTCAGATTAATACACATGAATTTTTTAAAATTTTCGGCAGTGTAAACTTTTCTGTTATTTTTCTATTCTCTACACTGTATGATACAGAATATATCATATTACAATAAGAATTTTGTCTCATATTTACTGTGAAAATTGAGAGGAAAAAGGAGCATATAAGAAGAAATCTACATTATATATTGTTTATTATTTATTAGTAATATATATAAAACAAAGTGAGCTGTGTACTATACCAAATTCTCATGAATCTCTCTAGTATGTATGTATGCTCTGTTAGCAACCCATTAGGCTTGCATTGTCTACTTCCTCAACTCATGCTTAGTTGGGCTGGGTCGGGTCGCATCAACATTCGAGGATCAACAGTCGAGTTTCAACTGTGTGTATCTGACATTTAAAGGACTTCTGTATCGGAAAACGATGATTCAACAAAATGGCCTTCTTTGCTGCAAGAATAATATAGCATAAGTTTACATAAGCAATTTATGAGATTGTGATTATATGCAGTTAAAAGATTAACTACAGCATCCAAAAAAGTTTGTACTTTTGAAGTTTACTTTTAAAAGGGTTAAATTATAGATTATGATTATAGCTTCATAAAAATCAGAATTTTTTAAAAGGATTAAATTAAGAAGAGTGAAATTATTACATTAGTGAATAATTTGTCATGAATCCTAATACATTAAACATCATAAAAGATGACAACATTGTACTTAAGCAAATGCCAAACATTAAACATCATAAAATATAACATTGTACTTAAGCAAATGCCAAACTTAAGTTTACCCAGTTAAAAACATATAAGTTCATACTAAACATATATAATTCTTCCACAGTAAAATAACCGGTACCACTAGGAGTTCATGGAAAGTTTCTATGTATTGCATGCTTCATCAGGGTGACAACATTGAGGAGGCAGAGTGACTGTAAACTCATACCAACCATTGTCGATATATTTCTCCTCTGCATCTCTGTTGGAGGTAATTATCTAGATCAATATATTGGCAAGGGTCGGTATGAGTTTGTGAAGGAAAATAAACTCATAAAGGACGACGAGTTGATGTTTATGGTCACTCTACCTCCTTAATACCTCAATGTTGCCACTCTAAAAGAACTATCCATGAATTCCATGTGGTACCAATCATGTTCTAAAAGAAATCTCCATGTTTAATATGAAACTGATGTGTAAATTTAAGGTGTTTAAGTAAGTTTGACATGTGCCCAAGTACAATGCTGTTTTGTTATGATTTATGATGTTGAATGTAACAAGACAAATAGACCGGATGTGTAATGGATGTATGTTGTAAAATAATGTTATTTAGCTTATTATTGTGTTTTGTGATGATGTCACTTTTCTTAATTTTACCCTGTTTAAAAAACTTGATTCTTAAAAGATTTTACACTTTGATAATCAATAAAATGTAATCCATGTTGGTTGAATATGGATTGCATTGACTTTGGCCAAATGTTTATTTTAATGCAAGAAAAATGATTTTCAACCTATGGGAGAGAGGAACAATGTGAGGGACTCAAATACGATAAAATATATTACAATAAAACATCAAAACAAGTAAATTGATATTGTTACAAACGGAGCAATTTTAATCCATTGGTATGATAATTTATTATTTTTATGAAGCTAATATTATAATCAAAGATTTATAGTGCTAAATAAAAAAATGAGCTAATATTTTGTTTTCATTATTATCAGGAAGAAGACATATTTTATGAAGAATTAGTTTATTACATGCAATGCAAGATTGTGATATTATTTTATTGTTAAAATGTAATGTTTCATATTGACAAGAAACAAGAAAAAATTATATTGGTCAGTGTCACTTTTGTTAGATTGGTTCAAAATTAAGTATGTGATAGACAAACATATATAGTCGTAACTATTTCACATCTAATATTTAATTTCTTTCATATATCTATCTATACTTTTCTAAGTTCGAACCTTATATCACCTAACTATTTTGTAAGTATTGAGAATGGCATAACTTTTTGTTGCGCGTTGCATGGGTGTTAATCACTAGTATCAAATAATGATCAACTTACTCGACACTTTGGCTGCTTCATATTCTCCAGTAAATCAGTAATTTCAAGCTGCTTCATCACAGCGGCGTGTAGTACCTGCAGAAAATGCACACATTTTAAACACTATAATCAAAAGAAATAGACGAGTGGTGAAAGAATAGATGAATACCCTCTTTGTCTTCTCAAGGTCAAACTCAACGGACTTTATTCTATCCAAGGAATCCATAAGCATTTTCTCCTTCTCCAAAGGCATGCCATCGGGTTTCTTGTTAAGTTCGTCGAATACTTTTTCTAGTCTCTGAAGACGTTGTTCACATGGAAGAATGCACTCTCTTTCAGTAGCTGCTTCAATAGCTTCTGAATGGTTATTAATGTCACGTTCCGTGAAATTTGATGGGTGAACAATGTTAGGTGTTCTCCAAAATTCAAATCTTAGGCTGAATATGAACCCAACAAGTCTTTCAATGAAGGATGCCAGCGCTTGTGGCACATATAAGAAATTTATTTTAGCTAATTTTTCCTTAATAACGCTTAACAAATTGCTGACCAAAGCACCTGAAAAATAAAAGTAATCATATTGAAATACTTGTCAATATTTTCAACTTCCACGTCCAAATATACCAAGGTATATATGCACAACTTGAATTCTACATGGAACATATGAAAGGAACTTATAAATATAATTGGTTCAATACCTTCTGAATTTGTCCTATAAGCAACATTTTCGGTATCATTAATTTGCAATGACTGCATTCGAGTAAGGTGAAGTTGGTCATTTTCCATCACATTCTGAGCCGATAGAGCACTATCGTCACAGCTGTAGTAGCCATTGGCATCTGGTGCCCTTACCTGCATATGACAGAGTGATTAGGTATGATTAAAAGTTCAAGGAAATCCCTTAAAATGTACATGGAGAATGTTAAGATGACAATGAGGATTCTAAAATAAGTGAGATTTTGAAACTCACTTCTTCACAAACTGGTGCTAAACGAGGATAATTGCCGCTCCGTTGTCTGGTAGGAGATGAGTAATCATTAAAATCAGACCCTGATTCTGCTGTTGACGAGCCACTGCATCGCTCCTGGAGGACGAGGAAAAAGTTAATAAAACCATACAATTGTAAGGAACGTGTGTACCAACCATAAAACACTAAACACTTGTGAAATCCCAAGTTTTTTTATGTCCAAAAGACTGAAACTTGCCTTCAGTGATTGTAACTGAAAGGAGTCAAAATTGTGCTGTTCATTGGACGCCCTGGTGATTTGCCTCACAAAAGTTCCCTCCGTGTTACGTACCAGCTAAAATCAGAATATCTATATCAGTTTGACAAGGCATTTCTAAGCCATATATATTTTCAAAAGCATGCACAAGTAAGAAGAGTAGATCAGATGGAGAGGAGTCAAAACATCTAGAGGTAGAGGAAAACCTATAAAAAACTATAAGAGAAGTTATTAAGAAAGATCTCAAGATTATCGATTTGGATAGCTGCATGATCCTGAATAGAACATTATGGCGGGAGTTCATCCATGTAGCCGACCCCACTTAGTGGGATAAGGCTTGATTGTTGTTGTTGTTGTTATGCACAAGTAAGAGCTAAGAAGCGAGCTAGCAAAGAAACATTACCTTCATGATATTATGATCATTCCATGGACCCTTGTTAGTCCTAAGACATCCACCATCGCGGGAACATGTACATGAACCACCCAGAAAGTCTGGCAATTGACTGCATAATTCATTTGCACACACCGAATACATCAGTTAGATAAATAGAAATTGCAATGCAGCATGGTGAAGCCACAGAGGCATATACCTAGAGTCGATGACTTCCTGTAATTTATATAGAGACTTAGATTCAAGAATCTGAAAGTTAGGGAAATGAATGTAAGAATCAGCAGCGTTGTAGGAAACAAGCATGTTTAAGATTACTAGTTGATAGTTATATCCTTCACCTGTATCTTTGTAGTAGTTTTGGGATCAAGAAATTTCAGTGCAGCAGGCCAAAGCATCTTCTTAAAGGCAGTACCAGCATTTACAATGTACATTTGATGTAATGTCTGTAAATACATATGGAGAATTATCTCACAGAAATGAAAAAGGCGAAAAATAAAAGTTAATTTGAGAATGGCGGGATTAAAACCTCAGGATAGTAACAGCTATCTATTTTAGCTATTGAAGACAAGAGATTTGCTGCAGTAGGTGAGAAATTCTTCATTCCCTGCATCACACATTTCAATGGCAGCTAAAATTTCGGCAGAAAAACATTTCGACAAGTTGCAAACAAGGAAATCCTTAAAAGTGAGAAACACCAAACAACACCCTCGTTGGTCCCTAAATGGACTGGTTTTTAGGAAGATACCATTTTCATAGAATCAAAAACATATAAACAATCTACTATCAGTAAGAACACAGACTATCAGACACACAGAATAATCAACAGATTACAGTATTAGTGTAATCCAACATACCAAGCCTTGTACATCCAATATTGTTGTTGTCGAAAAAATCTGCCTCTTTGCTGCAATGGAACATGCTGGAAATTTCTCATGCAGAGCCTTCTCGAACTCCTGGACATGGTATCTCAAATATCGATCTATTGTGGTGATGCGCGTCAAGCGGCTTGGATGAGCTTTCCCAAGCCTCTCAATGTAAACTGGCCTACCTTCCTTATCGACTCCATGGTAACCTTGAGGATAATACTGCAATACTCCTTCCAGCTCTTCAAATGCAAAATCCTTCAAAGGATAATCATCGTATTAGAAGCAAATCAAACATGTATGAGGCGTCTTATGCAAATCCTATTGTCCTTCTGTTACACTGAAACATTCTACGGTCCAAATCAACTATACTTTTCATGGCTATGTCATAAATTAGAATCATTACCTCAAGAATTGTATCAGTTCCATATTCCTTTCGCCATGCAAGCATTTCTTCCCACATCTGAATTGTGTTCTCAATATTAAATTCCCTAGCCTTAAGAAACCTATCGGGAAATAGAGAGCAACAAGAGTCAATGTTGTGTGAGTGAATAAAACCGTAGCACATACTATTCATGAAAACACATTTCAAAGTTGAAATGCACGGGACTCGTGAGTATGCCCAAAGAGCTAAACAGTCCATCAAGGTAGCTAAGCTAAAAAATCCATTTGCCGATATAATTTGAGGAGAAAACTAAAGAAAAAGTACCTCAACAACGAATGATAATCGTCATGCCTCGGAGGCAAACTTCCCCGTTCAACAAGTCTTTGACGCAACTCAAGCACCGCAGTCTCCTCTCGCGCATCTCTCACATCCTCAATAGCCACTGACGGAACCCTATAATCAATTTTCTTTTTCCCTCTTTTCTTAAGTGAATGAGTGAATTTAGAAGATGCATTCATCGCCTTCTTCTTGAGTGTTCCGATCTTAGAATACTGCCGCCTCTCATCCTCCGAATTCTCAACATCCGATCTCCTCTCCCTAATTTCATCATTACTACATTGCCCTTCAAATCCTTCCACCACAATTTAATTACAAAATCAGATTCTTCACACACACAAAATCACACCCATCACAATTCAAAACACACATCATAAACTAGAAAACAAATAAAATCACTACAAATGTGAATAAATTAAACATAATTACAAGTGTCAGTGCCAGTACCCAAAACCGAGGACACAGACACCTTTTTTCAGAGGTGTCGCTACAGAGAGTATATATAAGGCAATACCTGACATTTGAGTCCAACTGAAAACCAAAGAATATTTAACCTAATTTATGAATCAGGAAATCAAATTCATAGCAAACTCCTTCATAAATCACTCCTCCAAATTCTACAAAATTCAAACAAATAAATTAATAAATAAATAAAAATTCACAGCAAAATACTATATCCCAAACAAACTAATTAATTAATTAAAGCAAACTCAATTAGAACAAAACAGTAATTTAAATTACATTATCCTTAATCATAAAATTTTAATTAAAAAATAAATTACAATTAACTAATACAACAAAATAATCCAAAAACTATAGCAACTTCTTCATCATTATCAAAACTAATGCTACAAGAATTCTTAAAATTAAAAAAAAAAAAAAAAAAAAAAAAAAAAAAAAAAAAACTCAGTAATTGAATTGGTAAAGTGCAAGAAAATAGCGACAAATCTACATTACTTGAGCTGAATCTCAAAATCAAATCGAATGCGTAAAACGAAAACTACACGGAACGATAGAGAAAACGAAGCAAAACCTCAGATTCGAAAAACGACCTGTCGTTTGAGACTTTTCCAAAACTCGATGAAGATTGTCGTATGAACCAACTAGCATTCCCTAGCAAAGAAACGAACTTGGAAAATTGAAAACGTAGAGATTTTATTTTAATTTTTTCTAATTTAATTTTAATTTTTTGAGGTAACGAAAATGAAAAAATGCGTTATTATGAAATGAAATGAATATGAAGAAGAAGAGAGAGGAACTTTATGTTATAGTTATAAGTAAATACTATTATTTAATTTATTGGTTTTAGATCCATGGTTGCGTTTATTTATTCATTTTCTTAGGCAAAAAAAAATAAAATAATAATACTAAAAACGCTTTGAATTAGTATTTATTACTATTTACAAATGCTTGATTATTTTTGGAAAAGATATTTTTTTAGCTTTTACTATAATAATAATAATAATAATAATAATAATTATAATAATAATAATAATAATAATAATAATAATAATAAAATAATTGAATATAGTAGAAAGTGCATCTTATCTTGGCTAATATTCTTTCTTTCTCTTTTTTTAAGTTTCCTTTATTCTTTTTTTATTACTTTTTCTCTTTTGAAATATTTATTTATTTACTTTCAAATAAAATCTAATGAATTTAAGAAGGTTCATTTTATACATGTGGTTCATTAAATACATAAAAATAAAGTTTATTTTTTTATAAGAGAAAAGGAGTATAATTTTTTTTTATATTATCAATTAAAAAAAACGTATATCTAATCAAATCACATTTTTATTTTTTAAATATTTAAATTGGATGATGGTATAAAAATATTTTTATATTAAAATAAAAATCTTATTAAATAATGATGTACAAATATTTTACATTGACATTGTTAAGGAATATCTTTAATCTCTTTATTTAATAAAAAAATTCCACATTTTGAAAAAGAGATATTTTCATACAAAAGTTAATCTTTAAATAAATTTGACACTAATACTTTTTTAAAATAAAATAAAAACAATATTATGTTAAAAGTCTCTTTACATCTATTTTGAATCTCAATTTTAAGTTTAAAATTTTCGTTTTTTTAATTGAAATATTTCTATTAATAGATAAATTATAAATAAAAAAGAATTTTAATAAATATTTCTTTTAAAAACATAATAACTCTCTATTATAAATTCAAAATTTCAAAATTAATATGTTACTGTTTTTTAATTTTATTAATTTCTAATGAATTAAATTAATAGAAGAAATATTTTTAATTTTTATAATATCATTATTATAGCCATTTATTTATTTTGTGAATATTATATTTTCAACTAATGATTTAGTTAAGCTAAACAATAAGGATACAAAAACATTTTTAAAAAATGGTTAAGAGAAGAAATTTAAAATTGAAATTTTATGAAGAATATTGAAAAGTTAGGTGAAAAATGAGAAATTGTGTGATATTTATTGATGTGACCTTTGAAGGTTCCAGCAATTGGCTTCACATGAAGCATCTCCCACCGAGTACACGTGTCATACCATTTTTGTGCTTGTGGCTTTGTTTTATTACTAAAAAAATATCAAATATAAATTATTAAATTTTTCTATTTATACTTTATTGAATTATTTGTGGGGTGACCATTTGTCTACTTTCTCCTTTCTTTATATTTGTTCTCTTATTAAAAATATTTAAGTAAACAACATAATTTTTTAATTAAAATTAACATTAATTATTTTCTTAAAAAAGACTAGAATTAGAAATTCAATTTGAAATCTTTTCACTTATATATATATATATATATATATATATATATATATATATATATATATATATATATATATATATATATATATATATATATATATATATATATATATATATATATATATATATATATATATATATATATATATATATATATATATATATATATATATATATATATATATATATATATATATATATATTGAGCTCAAATATGCAAAGATAGTTATCCACATAATTGTGTTTTAATACACCAATTTATTATTAATACTCTCTCACAAAACCAATGTAGTTTGAAACAACAACCTTCATCTCGACTTTTGAAAAAAAATTGTTGGTATGAACTTAGTTAATGTGAATACAAAGTTAGCATAGGTTGAATTTTGATTTTGTTTGACATAACTCTTTCTCGAACAAAATGAATATTTAGTTCAATATATTTTATTATGACATGTTGAATAGGATTGAGAAATATTATAACTGCACTTAAATTTCACAAAGTAGAGTAAGTGGAAGATAATAAACCCTTAGCACAAATAGAAGTAATTCAAGCCATAGAAACTCATAGGTAGTATGAGCTAAAACTCTATATTCTACTTCAGCAGTGGAGCGTACAACTAGTAACTGCTTTTTAGAGCTCCAAGAAATCAAGTTTGGAACAAAAAAGATGCATGTTATAAATGTAGATTTGCTATCATCAAAATCATTTGCCCAATCTAAACCATTACATGCCCTCAAGGAGTATTTTTGAATTGGATTTGTAGGAGACAATAGCATATCATGGGTGGATGGGGGGCCACCTGCTTTGCCACCCTTATCTGAAAGAAACAAGATTGGTGCAATTCAAAAGTGAAAGAGGAAGGAGCATGTGCATGTGAAAATAATAGTAAAAAATTGAGAGAGACGGTTCTTCAAAAGTGAATGAGAGAAGAGCATATCCATGCAAATTTTTTGAACCTTTTTGACCATTCAACTGTATAAAACGAGTTTTCATCAAAGTCAAAGACCTGTAAATGCTCTCATAGGTGAAGCCACCTGCGACACACAAGACTCGTGGTAGCCACAGATGTTTTGGTTAGGAGGAATGATAATATGTGGCACGATACAGAATCCGGTAAATTTCAATAAATTACTCATCCGGTCAATGCCTTGACTGTGGCTTCAACTTTTTTTTGTCATTTAGAGGTTAACAACTACGGTGCCATTGTCGTTTCAGTGACTTTGATAAATTATTTCATTAGATGCAACTTCTTGAAGGTGTTCTAGAACAGGATTTCTGCAGAGGTACCAGGGTCTATCAAAACATGCTTGATGTTCCAGTTGATAAAATGATGATCAGAGGATCAACACCGTGAGGGTTGAGGTCGAACGCGTCCTCCTCAGAGATGATGATATAAGCCCATGTTTTTTCTTGGAAATTTTTGGGGAAGCTAGAGGATATTATATTTGTCACAAACACCTGCTTAATGTATTTCATTTAGGAAGATCTAGAATGACCTCAGCCGAAAAAAAACTTCGACGATGGTGTTTGTGTTATAGATTGTGTTTTTTAGGGCCACCTTTAGTGGAAAGATGAAGGGAGTTTAAGTATGAGTGTGGCCCAGGTTAGTTTTACCGGAGCGTCACTGTATAGGGAGACTCAAAGGACTTAGTAGGCTTATAACTCGATTTGGTGGTTAAGGCTTGACCACGGCGACGAGAAGCCTTGTATGGTGGTCTTTTGAGTTAGTTTAGCAAACCTGTTCATGTGAGGCTAGAAGAACTACTAATGATTGGTGGCAAGCGTGCGGTAAGACAAAGATGAGCATCATACTCTATAGGGCGTGAAAAATATGTATCATTTAAGTTCTGTCATTTCTTCCTTGAGGAGAGATGTATTTATAGAGGTCTCTAGGACCTAGGTTTTTTTGAAAAAGGTCACCACCTACTTAGTCAATGGTAGATGGTTGAATTCTCACTTTCAATGAAGTTGTTGGTCAGTTAATGACTTTGACTTTCTCCCTCCTCAAGGAATGTATTATCATGTGTTTCTCACGTAGGAGCGAAGTAAAACCACAGGGCGATGTGATACCTCCATTTGACGTTATATTTTACCATCGCCCTTTTATAGTATGAAAACAACATCCTAAGCGAGATCTTTTACAAATATAACATTATCCTCAGGACTTAATTTTGTATATGAATTGGCATGGTTGCCCGTGATAATCTTCTAATGATAAAATTTTCCTTTTCTTTGATGTTATAAGTTGTATCAGTTATGGACTAAATGTTTTGAGAACAACAAATTGAATTCTTTTTATTAATATTTTAAATTATTGTTAATTATATTGAATCCATTGAAATTTATATAAATCTAAAATTTATGAGGTCGGTGTCATTTATTTATTTGTCAGTTATATGCATTCATAATCAATTTTGAAGTTTGCAGTAAAGATTCATTTTAATTAGAGAATAGATGACTTTTAATTCACTTCAGAGTCTCATATTTGATTTAGAAAATTGATAGAGATTAGATATTTTTTAATTGGATATTTAGCATGTTAGGTGTTATTAGGAACTATAACTTTTTTGGGAAATATTCAATTACTTTTAAAGGTTACGTGAGAGAGAATAAGTATATGATTAAACATATTAACATTTTTAAAATGAAGAGTAAAATGGAATAACAAAATCATAATATAATGAGATATTAGTTTAGTTTAATCTTAAAATATTCAAACGATAAAATATAATTAATAATTTAATATTTTGTTTCATTTT